TTTTGCAGCAGACTGCCTTGTCTCTGAAATGGTTACATGGTGTCTGTGTGTAGGTTCACAACCTGAGCCAGCACTACAGGAAGAGGCACCCAGCTGCAAAGGGAAGTTCTCCCCAAGCATGAGAAGACATGAGGATTTAAAAGGAAGAGCAGCAAAGAGAGTATTGGTTTATGTTAAGGGTTTAATGTCACTTTAACCTGTACAGAACCCTTTCTTGTGCTACACAAGAATAATGTTGTCTTGAGGCCTAGGGCCTCTTATCTTTCCTGGGCGGTCTCTTCCTTCCACCTTAACCAGGCCATTGTACTACCATTTCTCTGTCCTGCACCTACACATCTGAAGGAGATTTCTCTCTTTTGTCTGCATGTGGTATGCACTGTTCTAGTTTATCTCTCAGCTACAGTTCCCTTTCTACAGTCCTGGCCAAAGGTTTTGAGAATGACACAAATATTAATTTTCACAAAGTCTGCTGCTTCAGTTTGTATGATGTCAATTTGCATATACTCAAAAATGTTGTGAAAAGTGATCAGATCAATTGCAACTAATTGCAAAGTCCTTCTTTGCCATGAAAATGAACTTAATCCCCGAAATAACATTTCCACTGCATTTCAGCCCTGCCACAAAAGGACCAGCTGACATCCTGTCTGAGATTCTCTCCTTAACACAGGTGTCAGTGTTGACGAGGACAAGGCTGGAGACCACTCTGTCATGCTGATTGAGTTAGAATAACAGACTGGAAGCTTTAAAAGAAGTGTGGTGCTTGAAATCATTGTTCTTCCTCTGTTAACCATGGTTACCTGCAAGGAAACATGTGCAGTCATCATTGCTTTGCACAAAAATGGATTCACAGGCGAGGATATTGCTGCTACTAAGATTGCACCTAAATCAACCATTTATTGGATCATTTTAAGAACTTCAAGGAGAGAGGTTCAATTGTTGTGAAGAAGGCTTCAGGGCGCCCAAGAAAGTCCAGCAAGCACCAGGACCGTCTCTTTAAGTTGTTTCAGCTGTGGGATCGGGGCACCACCAGTGCAGAGTTTGCTCAGGAATGGCAGCAGGCAGGTGTGAGTGCATCTGCACGCACAGTGAGGCGAAGACTTATGGAGGATGGCCTGGTGTCAAGAAGGTCAGCAAAGAAGCCACTTCTCTTTAGGAAAAACATCAGGGACAGACTTATATTCTGCAAAAGGTACAGGATTAGACTGCTGAGGACTGGGGTAAAGTAATTTTCTCTGATGAATCCCCTTTCCGATTGTTTGGGGCATCCGAAAAATACCTTGTCCAGGTAAGAAAAGGTGAGCGCTACCATCAGTCCTGTGTCATGCCAACAGGAAAGCATCCTGAGACAATTCATGTGTGCGGTTGCTTCTCAGCCAAGGGAGTGGGCTCACTCACAATTTTGCTTAAGAACACAGCCATGAATAAAGAATGGTACAAAATCATCCTCCAAGAGCAACTTCTCCCAACCATTCAAGAACAGTTTGGTGACGAACAATGCCTTTTCCAGCATGATGGAGCATCTTGCCATAAGGCAAAAGTGATAACTAAGTGGCTTGGGGAACAAAACCATCAAAATTTCGGGTCCATGGCCAGGAAATTCCCCAGACCTTAATCCCATTGAGAACTTGTGGTCAATCCTCAAGAGACTGGAGAACAAAACCCCCACCCCCACAAATTCTGACAAACTCCAAGCATTGATTAGTCAAGAATGGGCTGCCATCAGTCAGGATATGGCCCAGAAGTTGATTGACAGCATGCCAGGGCGAATTGCAGAGGTCTTCAATAAGAAGGATCAACACTGCAAATATTGACTCTGCATAAACTTGTTAACAACGTAATTGTCAATAAAAGCCTTTGAGGCTTATGAAATGCTTGTAATTATACTTCAGTATACCATAATAAAATATGACAAGAAGCTCTTAAAACACTGAAGCAGCAGACTTTGTGAAAATTAATATTTGTGTCATTCTCAAAACGTTTGGCCAGGACTGCACAGTCTAATTCTCTGTTTGATGTTATGTTGTAGGGGACAGCCTGCTTCTTGTTAATAATCGGTAGGTGGATTAGACAGCTCCTCATTCAAACTTATGATCTCCAAGGCAAGTTTCCCTGGTCAAAATGCACTCCAGTAGATCAGGCATCCGTTTCACAGGTGGCAAGGCTGCCACCTGGTCTTCTGTTCATACATTCATTAGGACTTACGAGGTGGATGTTCAGGCCTCAGCTAATAGCTTCGGTTGTAAGGTTCTACGGGCAGCTTTGTAGGCTCTTTTGAGCCCCTTCTGTTAACCAGTTGCTTTCTTTTTTTTCTTGTGGGCCTGTTTGTCTTTGTTTGCTGTGTGCCCACCTCTCAGTTAGACTGCTTTTAGAAGTCCTTATGTTCCAGAAAACCATCCTGTGTCCCATAATGTATGATAAGGAAGAAAATACGATTTTAGTCTTACCGGTATAATCTTTTTTTGGAGTACATTACGGGACACTCCTCCCCTCGTTTTTCTTTTCATCCGCTCATATATTTTCTTGCTGCAAAACTGAGCCATGCGGTGAGGGGGAGGGGTTATAATAGGCTGTCCTTACAGTTTTTTGTTTTGCCTCCTGGAGGTGGCAATATAACCCAATGTTCCAGAATTCTATCTTGTGTCCTGTAATGAGAGGTAGGGGAAAAAAACATGCTCATAGTACACCAGTGTGCCCCCCTCTATTTATCGTATTGAGAAGCCAGGCACTTTGACATTAACAGGACACTATTTGATCAGCGATCTACCATACAGCACCCTACATTGGTTTTATCAGCTGCATAGACCAGGACTCTGCCTTTAGTTTTGTATGCACGTTCTGCTGGTATTGATATATACAGTCTCTGTAGATAACAATTGTTTGGTTATGCTCCATATTTTCTTATTAAATATTGCTTCATATAATAACATTTGAGTCTATAAAGCCATAATTGTACAAATGGACAAAAAACCTATACGTAAAAGTGCGTTAGCGAGTGAGAACGATGTTTTAAAGTGTATTTCCATTTTTGCAGTCAAATTTGAGAAAACCCCTCCATATGTTCGTTATGTGCTCCTGTCCACACAGCATACTGAAAAATAACTTTAAAAAAATGTCTTACCTTTTTAGATGTTTTATGAAAGCAGGCAAGATGGCTGATTCCAGATTTTTCTAAGTCCTTTCACAGTGGTCTGTTCCAATGCAAAGACTTGGGACTGAAATTTGATGATTGTGTTTATCTGATAAGTTTCATTGACATACAATGGGCAAGACCCCTCACCCCTCACTGCCTTCCTAACATTTCAAAGCCATAGATGCGAGAAGAAAATATAACCCTTAAAACCCTAACCCAAGTATAAGTAATTTAAACTGACACATTTTTTTTACCTTATGCTTTCTGAATGGGAACATGTTACAAATCTAAAATAGGTGTTATCCCAATATGGCTGAGAAAGGGGAATTACATTTTAAAACATCTTATACAAACTTTTTACCTTACAGATCTACTGATGTTTGTCTTGATTTTCTAAGATGCCACAAGAGGCCCATTAGTGCATAAAACTTTAATCCCTATACATTATATATGCTGACTATGCAAATATCACAGGACTAATATTGCAACAGCGAAGAATAACATAATTGCACTAATTTCTTGGTCTAGGACAATGCAACTGCTTTGATAAAAACAGTTATTTAGCCATTTGTGTTTAACTTTATTATATATCTGTGGATTCCTCTATGCATTTGGGAGCGACAATGCATTTGCAGAACCTTAATATTCACACTCTACTGGAAGCACGACAGAACAGAGGTCTCCCACTACAGAGGGAACTGAAGGATTATGTTTTGCCAGGAGACAATGAATAGTCTCTATGTAACTTCCACACTGCCAGGGAACCAGTAGAGACTTGCTGTGTAATGATAATCTCCTTAGAATGAGAATTTTTTGTTGTGCTTTATTAATTCAGGGCCTGATGGGGATATTAGCAGCTCTTGAAATTGGAAAGGCCGGGAGCATTGCAATTTGCTGAATCCCAAAATGTTTCAAATGAGCAGATAAACAGCAGCAATAATTGGCCTTTATTAAATCAAGGAGTCGTTCATTACAAGTATCCCAGCTGTACCAGAAAGAGGGGAGAGGAGGGGGAGCCTGAGCATGTGCACTGTAAGAGAAATTCTTGTGAGAACCAGAACCACAGTCTAAGAGGCCTATTCAGTGAATTCATCACCTTTTATTCATGCACTTTTCCACTATTTGCTCTCTAGAGTTTCCTTCAATCTATAGAAATTGAAATTGAAAGTTTTAGTGCCCAAGTAGGTAAAAAAAACAATGAAATGGATTCAAGAAAGAAAACTTGTAAAGCTGCAGTGGGAACATAAAGTATGCACCCTTCAAAATTGGCATATTTTGCATTCACAAAAGCCATGAAGCCCATCAATCTTCCCTATAGGCAATACTGGAAACTTTCTGTGGCCATCTGTGTGTAAATCTGGAGCTAGGAGTTGGAGAGAGCTCCAGCAAAGGTAGTCCAGTCAGCAAAGGATCCAAACACCTGTAAGAGTGATGAAGCATGATGCCACCTAGTTAAGAGCACGGTGTGTGGGCAGGAAGTGTTTTTCAGGGTTTAACCCCTTCTTCTTACCCAGCCTTACTCCTGACTGCATCTTCATAGCGGCAGATTGTCAAGAATTGACCTATTAGCTTAATAACTTTGAGCAGTACTGCTGGTATTGTTAATCAGTAACATTTGTAAATTCTTTTAGGTAAGTCACTTAAGTCATAAAACTGAAATAGATACACAAAGAGAAAACATGTTGCTTCACCAGCACCGTTCAAAAGAGTCTTTACAAATCCACACAAAGACACTATAAAGGGGCATAATATAAAAAGACACTTTTCTTTGACATTAGTATGTATACCTAGTATTATCTAGGAATAGGATGTAGAATTGTTCAATGATTAGAACAGCATTTTTTTTCAAATGCATTTTTGTCTTTTGCAGATTTGCCGGTAATTCTGAAGAAGGTGTGGGGGGAGAATGCACCGTGTCTTGTGCTGGTTCCTGTAATAGATCTGCTCGGTCCTGAACTCCTAAACATGTCTATCTGGCTTAGTTGTTGATCTCGTGGAATGGTTCATCCAAATGTGGACTGAAAAGACCAAAAAAACTATAATCGTTGCTCTTTTGCCGGATCACAGCGAGTGTTGTAAAGTCTGTTATGAAGAATGCTAAAGGTTAAAAGTGTTACAAAATGATTTGTCTCAAAGTTTTAGATCATTTGAACTATTTTTGTATTTATATAAATTCTAGAATTTTTTGTATTAAACCACAACCAATGCAAAGATAGTGCTAGGATTTTAGATGAAGGGGGTACAACCTGAAAGCTTGTCCTGAAAATGTAACTATTAGCGCAAAGAAAAAGAAGTATCATGGGCAGTATTCAACTGCGTTGTTCTAAGTGCACTAATAGGGCTATAATCACCTTTACCGTTTCCAAGATACAGACTGCAAGATATTTTAATTTTGGAAAATATGCCAAAAATGTTTAGACTTTATAAAGCGGGCCATTACAAAATGTCTTTTTTACACCATATAACACATCACAAGACAAGGATGAAGATCCCAACAACACTGTTATACAAATACTAAAACTACCTTTTGTTCCTTAACTAAATTGCCTAAAACAAAGGAACCAAAATTCAGTATTTATCTCAAGTTCATAGTGGAATATAGAAGTGATATAGATACATTAAAGTGTACTGTCATGAAACAGCCCGCCCTTGACGAAACGCTAACCAGAGCGCGGTTTTCATTTGGTGGAGGAGGAGGGCTGTGCAGCAATTATTTACCACACACTTCTGCGACTCCTCAAGCTATCCTGCAAGCAACAATCCTTGTGTAACCACCTTCCCACTGCTCACACACCAAACACACAACTCACTGTAGTCTGCCACCAAATGCAGTTTGTCCACTAGGAAATTATACACACAGATCCTCGTCCATCAGATCTGCTGACTTATACACACTGATACTAATCTGCATGCAATTCGTAGTCACTCAAAGCAATTTCATACTGATTAACAGAGAGCTTACAACCGAACATACAGACACTGATGACAATGACCACTCTCTATAAGAGTATGAATACGTAGTTTAGTACACAGAAGGCCACTTATTCATTTTATAGTTTAATATCCCTAGGTGGGTAATGCATAAGAATGATATACAACAGTAAAAAGAAAGACCATGACATACAAAACTATGGTTATTGGCAATAAAATAAAATAGGGAAAAAAAACTTTACCATTGGGCAGTATTTATCCTGCTGGTGGGAGAACACTGGAAATCAGTAAATGCCATGTCTTTGGATACACTCTCCCAGACGAATACAACATTTATAAATCAGGCTACCCAATTTACTGTGAAATGGATGTGGTACAGATCCTTTAGCCAATCACCTCTGGTGGTGGTTTCTCTCTTCTGTAGTGGCAATTGGTTATTTGGGCCCCCGATTTCTGATGCCAGGATCAGGAGTGGGATTTCCAACACCAGGGCATCAACCCGATTGCAACAATTCCACTCACCGTATCGCTATTGGAAGCAGGCCCCAAATAACCATTTTTTGGGTCTGTAGGTAAGTGGGTAGAGCCGAAACCTATAATTTTATATGGGCATGTAGTTTGTAATATGTACTAGCTGAGAGAATCTGCTTCATCTCCCTACGACCGATACATTTGATTTTATTTGTGATGAAACGTAATTCCTCTGATCTATAAGAAGGGAGCCCAGTGTATATAGATCTCGTGTCCCCTGCCGTGGTTTGCAGCTACTGATGTCCAATCTTATCTGGCCAAGAACTTAGAAGGTGTGAGATTCTTCCAGCTGTCTATTCAAATTCTAATGTTGAATATCTGCCTCCTCTTGTTCCACTTATCAGGGAAATTATAAAATATCTTGTGATATTGATTCCCCTCTATAATTTAACATCACAGGAACCTATCAAGATAGAAATACACTATATTAACTGTCAAATCCAAATGCTTGGGTCAATCATCCTATCCCTTGGTTTACTTTTGCCTCAAACTTTTCTGGCTGCATACTTGTTAAGTGATTCATTAAGAGGTGACACAAGACTGAGGATGACACTCTAGAGCTTGTACCTTGAAAAACAAATGATCAATGGTGACTCCTATTTCTGTCTTGACAAGTTCTCATGAATATTACACCTATAGAATTTGACTTTTAATATGGTTGCATGTCACGAAATTGGTCACAAGAGGGCAGCAGTAGCAAGTCTATGTATGAGAAATAACACTGCATCTGGTGAATGTATACTAAACGTACTGTAGGTACACATCATCTATTAAATAATAATATACAGACAAATTTGTTAGCACCCTTCTACATAAAAAGAAAAAACAAAATAATGAAATAACATGACACTGACCAAATAAAAAAATGCATCCTTTATTGTTAATTCTATTTTTAAAGATACAATCTAAAAAAAGTTTTTAGGACACATCTCTCATCTGCTCTACGTGCTGCAATTATGAGCAATCAATGACCGTATGTAATTGCTTTGTATTTCACAACTGGAACAGCTGTCAAAATAGTCACACCTGTGTAAAATGTTGTTGAGTAAATACAATATAATGATGAATTGTTTCATTGCATTTACTATTTCATTTATTCATATTAATTGTGTGACCTTTGTTCTGCATATAACAGCAAAAAGTCGGGATCACCAGCAATCACTAGATAATGTTCAAATAATAACATCCATTAAAGGCCGTGACACACTGCACGCGAAGCCGTGCAGAGCGAAGCAAAGCTATCCGGCACGGAGCTTTGCGTGCAGTGTGTGAGCTGAGTGCAGTCAGATGATTGACTGCACCTTCAGCCAATCGGCTCGTGCTTAACAACCGGCCAGACGTCGCATACCGGCGCGCTGGTTTATTCGCGCGAGCCGATTGGCTGAAGTTGGAATTGTTGATCTCGGCACGCTCAGCTCCGCGAGCTCTCACCAGCTGAAGTGCCCAGGAGAAAATGACATGACACACTGCTCGCAAAGGCAGCGCGCCACCGCTCCGCGCTGCTTCGCGTGCAGTGTGTCACGGCCTTTATTCAGATCAATCGTCGCACATATCACAGTAGCCAACGTTTCGGGGCCACGCAGGGTCCCTCCATTAGGTCAATAATGTGGGCATTGCCCTAATGAAGGAACCCTGCGTGGCCCCAAAACGTTGGCTACTGTGATATGTGTGACGATTGATCCGAATAAATGGACGTTATTATTGAAACATTATCTACTAAGTGCTGGTGATCCCAACTTTTTGTTGTGTGATGCACACAGCGCCATCTGTGATTATCACTACAAGCACCACCATTGTAATTTGGGCCGGAGACGTTGTAAAGAGTGCAGGGGGACTTTACTGCTTTCTACGTTTGTTCTGCATATGACATCTTTTAACCCTTTTGCTGCCAAGGACGTACGTCGTACGGAGCTACAAAAGTGCTTCCAGCACATGGTATTTAAAAAAAAAATTCTAATCCTTTACATTAACCCTATTCAGCCCCAATTCCTCCCCTTTTCCCTTTTTATTTTCCTGTTTTTTTCTCTTTTATTCATTCATTTAGTTTGTTACTGTTTTTCAATGTTGCATAATAAGAAAATGCGCAAAAGGGAAACAAACGTCGCTTCTAATTTGCACATACCTTTGCCATGCATTGTACTAGAAACATCATTTTAGTGTTATTTTAGTTACAGTAAATCACTTTAAAAGAAAAACACTGGTCAAAACAGAAAACACTTTTTTCATTTTTTTTTTTACATGTTTGGTGTGTAAGCTGCTCAAAAAAATTAAAGGGACACTTTGAAAACACATCAGATCTCAATATGGAAAAATATAATGCTGGATATCTACTGTATACTGGACTGGGTAATGTGTTAGGAACGAAAGGATGCCACATCGTTTGATGGAAATGAAAAATTATCAACCTACAGAGGGCTGAATTTAAAGACACCCCAAAAATCAAAGTGAACAAATGATGCAGCACCATTATGCTGAAATTTCATTGCAGCAACTCAAAATGGTACTCATTAGTTTGTATGTCCCCCATGTGCTCTCATTAGGGGCATGCTCCTAATGAGACGACGGATGGTGTCCTGGGGTATCTCCTCCCAGATCTGGACCAGAGCATCACTGAGCTCCTAAACAGACTGAGGTGCAACCTGGTGGCTTCAGATAGACCGAGACATAATGTCCCAGAGGTGTTCTATTGGATTCAAGTCAGGCGAACGTGGGGGCCATTCAATGGTATCAATTTCTTCATCCTCAAGTAACTGGCTGCATACTCTCACCACATGAGGCCGGGCATCGTCGCGCATCAGGAGGAACCCAGGACCCACTGCACCAGCGTAAGGTCTGACAATGGGTCCAAGGATTTCATCCCGATACCTAATGGCAGTCAGGGTGCCATTGTCTAGCCTGTAGAGCAGGGGTCTTAAACCTCCGGCCCTCCAGCTGTGGTGAAACTACAAATCCCATGATGCATCTCTCTTCGGGAGTCATGTCTGTGGATGTGAGAATCTTGCAATGCCTCATGGGATTTGTAGTTCCCCCACTGCTGGAGGTTTGAGACCCCTGCTGTACAGGTCTTTGCGTCCCTCCATGGATATGCCTCTGCAGACTATCACTGACCCACCACAAAACCGGTCATGCTGAACAATATTACAGGCAGCATAATGTTCTCCACGGCTTCTCCAGACCCTTTCACGTCTCTCACATGTGCTCAGGGCGGGCCTGACAATTCTGGTGTTTAATGGGAAATGCCAATCGACCACGGTGCTGGGCAGTCAGCACAGGGCCCACTAGAGGACGTCTGGCCCTCAGGCCACCCTAATGAAGTCTGTTTCTGATTGTTTGGTCAGAGACATTCACACCAGTGGCCTGCTGGAGGTCATTTTGTATGGCCCTGGCAGTGCTCATCCCGTTCCTCCTTGCACAAAGGAACAGATACTGGTCTTGCTGATGGGTTAAGGACCTTCTATGGCCCTGCCCAGCTCTTGTAGAGTAACTGCATGTGCCCTGGAGTCTCCTTCATGCTCTCGGGACTGTGCTGGGAGACGCAACAATCCTTCT